GTCTGTGCAGTCTTTCTGCCTAGTTGGCCATCTTCAGAATCTATCTATTCTTAATTTCTTACCTGGGAAAGGACTGTTTTGAGGAAATTATGCAGACGTGATGAGTTGCCAAGTAATCTTCTAGTAGTTTAATTATTTTTAGTATTTCTAGAGGAACAAGTAAAGATAAAGATTTAAAATGTAAATCAGCCTATCAAGTGGGTCCTGATGTAGAAGAGATGAGGAAGTCCAGTTTTTTGGATAAACTGCCAAATCTGCACTGCCAGAGTGACCATTCCCCTGAACTGCAGTCATGCTTCCAGTGTCTCTGTGACTCCCTCTTTATTAATTCAGATGCAACTAGTCTAGAATCTAATTTACTATCTCCCTCCCAAACCTTCTGTTCTTACCCTCTGCTACTCTGTGTTCTTGTCTTCTGAGCTGACACCTTTAGATTCACCTTGGATGTTTTCCTTTACCTTCATTCTACCACCAATCCTCCAATCATTTTCCTTTGCTTTCTTGTTCAGATCTGTGGCTTTCACCTTCCTTCCTTCTGTTAACCAGGTGGAAATCCCCATCTCCCAATGCATTTGGGCAGCAGCCTCTCTGCTTCTTCTTCCCTCTAGCCACCCTCTCCCACCCCATACACACACACCCTGGCCACTAAACATTATCTTTTTTAAAATTTTTATTGTGATTTGAGTGAAAGTTTACAGAGCAAAATCATTTTCCATACAGCAGTTCATACACATCTTGTCTCATGACATTGACTGCAATTTCCCACAATTGCAGCTTTCCTCCCACTTCCTCCCCATACTTACCTCTTCCCTGGGTCATTCCCTCCCATGCACTCCTGCCCAACCCCCAGCAGTCTCCCTGTCCATACCCTGCCCTTCTGTTCTCCCATGATTGATCTCTCCAAGGAGTGTATCTACCTGATGTAAATATTCACTTCATATGTCTGTCTTTTATTTGGCTGGAAGCCACAGAAATTAGTTCAATTCAGACCTAAAGGGCAGCCAAGGACTATAGTCTCAAGGGTTTCACCAGGCTCTGTCAGACCAACAAACCTGTTTTTTTCTTTTTTTAAAGATTTTCAGTTTTTTTCCACATTGTTCTCCCACTCTATCCAAGATCTCCTATACAGATTCCCCTTCAAAGTGGGCCACTAAACTTTTTCAGTTCCAGTGGTCATGTCAATGACTCTTTTCTAGAACTTTCTTTGCCTCAATAAATATTCTTGTTGGTGCTTCACTACTAACCTAAAAGTTGGTGGTTTGAACCCACCCAGATGCACCTTGAAAGAAAGGCCTGGAAATTTGCTTTGGCAAAGATTATAGCCAAGGAAACCCTATGGCGCTCAGTTCTACTTTGCTACACATGGAGTCACCATGAGTTGGAATTGACTCTATGGCAATTTGTTTGGTTTCAGTCTCAGTAAATCTATCCATTCCTGTTTCCCACCTCTTCCTTTCCCAATTTTAGTCCTATCCAATAGGTGCACAACCATTTAATTAAAGCCTTTGTGACTTTAAAAATGTCCCCTCAATTTTTCCCTTACTGCTCAAATATAAGCCTCATATTCAAATTCCTGCCTAAGACCTCCATCTGTCATCAAATTTCCTTAAAATACTCAAGAAACAACTTATCTCTGCTGTCTCTAAACTTCATTTCTACTTAACTACAAGTTTAATGCATAAGTGTTCTGTTTTACATTTTAATCTTGTTTCTCTAGAAAACCTTATACTTTGTAAAAGTATCTATACTTCTTTTTCATCCTCTTTTATCTGCCTAAAAAGGAGCTCTGGTGATGTAGTGGCTAAGGTATTTGGCTGCTAAGCAAAAGATGGATGGTTGGAACCCCTCAGCCCTTAGGCAGAAGAAAGATGAGGCAATCTGCTTCTGTAAAGATTTACAGCCTTGGAAACCCAGAGGGGGTCATCAGGAGTCGGAATCCACTAGATGGTGGTTAGTTTGGTTTTGGTGGTGCAGTGGTTAAAGCATTAGGCTACCAACCGAAGGTGGGTATTTCCAGTGCAACAACACCTCCAAGGGAGAAAGATGAGGGCAGTCTACATCGGTAAATATTTACAGCCTTGGAAACCTTACTGGGCAGTTCTACTCTGCCTATTGAGTCACTATGACTCAGAATTGACTAGATGGCAGTGGGTTGGTTTTTTGGTTTTATCTGCCTACTCATTTTTCACTCACTCCACCAAAAAGGGGACAGAGAAAGAGATCAATCCAAACCAAAAAACCTCTGCCATGGAGTGGCAACCCTTTAGGACAGAGTAGAACTGGCCCATAGGGTTTCCAAGGCTGTAATCTTCAGGGAAAGGAGCTCTGGTAGTATGGTGCCTAAGGCACTTGACTGCTAACCAGAAGGCTGCCGGTTCAAACCCACCAGCCACTCCTGAGAAAAAAGGTTGGGCAGTCTACTTCCGTACTGATACTGCCTTGGAAACCCAAGGAGGGGTCACTATGAGTCGGGTCCGACTCGACGGCACATAACAACAATCTTTAGGGAAGCAGACTGCCACACTTTACCCCTGCTGAGCAATTGGTGGGTTCCAATATCCGACCTTTTGGTTATTAGACGAGCACTTTAACCACTGCGCCACCAGAGCTCCTCTAAAATGAAGTGGCAATGAAATTTGAACGCTTGTAGAATCTTCCCTGTGCCCTCCTCTACTCCAACTAAAAGTAAACTGTAAATTCCAATATTTGTAATGTTGCCAATCATCACCACAACTAAAGAGGGTCAAGAAGATTTTGTATCAAATCATTCATTATGCCCAACGTTCCGTTGAGAAAGACCAAAATAAAATCCTGAGTCTTTCTTTGTTAATCTGCTACCTTTGTAGGGAAGTGAGGTGAAGTTGGGGGGAGGGCAGGATTGTTGCATTTAAAATCTCTCAGTTAAAGAGGAACAAAAGTATTGACCCTTGATTGAGGAGACGTAATGCTGCAGAGGTGTTGCAAAGATAATGGCTTTACTCCGCCTACTGATGGGGCACGCTTTCTCATTCTTCTATCAGAGCCGTGCGTTTTGGGAAAAACGGAACAAACTCTCGTCCCTGGTGGAGGGATTGTTTCCAAAAAGCAAGTGGCTTGAGAGTGCCATATCCAAGACTCATTTTCCTAGAGATGCGACTGCAATGGAAAGCCGGATAGCGGAAACAGGACTCAGCGCCGGCCACCAGCAGAGGCAAAGGGAGCTGGTGCGCGCGTCTAGGAGTCGCTCGCTCGGGTCTGCAGCCGGTCGGCCCGCCGCTAGGGGACGCCACGAGCGCGCCGGCCCCCCCGCCCAGCTGCCAGAGCAGGACTCGGCGCCGGCTCCCTTCCGCCAGCCCCAGAGCCGGGCCAGAGGAGGGAGGCCGGAGGAGACGGCAGGGGACGCTCGGCGAAGCGCCTGGGCTGTCACCGCGGACCCGCCGCCCACACCGGCCC